GCAGCAGTTCAAGGCAAACTGGTCAGAAGGTGGACAAGGTGGCTGTACAAAATCTCATGGCAGGGGTCAAGCGTAAGGCCCGGCAATTCGGATTTGGAAAAGCGGAAGCCTAACTGAATAGTTTTCCTGAATTTTATACTAATTGAACTTGAAAAAGAAATTTAATTTGATTTTTTAAATAAACGATTTCACCGATTTACACGCGTTTTCCCTTGACCAAATTTTGACCGTATCACCCTTTATTACGGGAATGATGATTTTTTTGTAGACAGCAAGCTTACATATTTTTCAGGAATAGAGTAGACCTCATGTTGATGAGTGGATACAGTGAACTTATCAAGATGTTACACTTGGTTTTGGTTTTGTCAACGTGCTCCCTGAAAATCAGCTTGCTGTCTAGTGTTAATTCGATGTAGACTACCTCTTTCGACCATTCCACCACTGTGACGTTCAGGCAGATCTTATTATTCACCGACGGAAAAAGTCTGGGAAATTTTGAGTGTGGAAAGATGATGACCTGGGCCTTTGCCGCGTGGATACGGATCTTCCAGCTGTTGAAATATCCAGACAGGGAATCCAGGCCTCTCTGAAGTTTGGTAGTCAGAGTTCCGATACTTGTAGACGATGGATGTGTCATCTGCGGACAGAGACAACGCTCCACCATCAGAGAGAGCCGGCATATCGGAGGTGAACAGGTTGTATAGAAAGGGGTCAAGGATGCTTCCTTGTGGAACGTCCTGTTCGATACATAGTTGTTAATTATCTTCACTAGGAAGATTCGAAAACCATACTGCTGCAATTTGAACACCAAGCCATCATGCCAGACATTGTCGAACGCTTTTTCAACGTCGAACAACGCCATGCCAGATGTTTACGAAAAAGACTTGTTCCGTCTGAGAATGTTTGTTATTCGAGTCAGCTGGTGGACGGTCCAACGACCTTTCCGAAAACCAAACTGTTCCTCGAGTAACAAGTTGTTTTCTTCGGCAGATGTTAGGAGCCGGTGGTAAACTGCTCTTTCGAACAGTTTTGATAACCCTGAGAGAAGGCTGATTGATCGATTGAGCAGAGGCCCGACAGCAGCGCTGTTTTATATCTTTTCAGATTCAAGCAGAACGACGTGAAACCGCACCTGACAGGATTTCCCGCCGTTTTTTTATGAATGGGCGGGGCAGAAAGCTTCTTTTGTGCAGAATATGTAAAAAGGATGGACTTTGGATATTAATCTAATTATATAGAGGTACCAGATATGTTTCACAGTCAGTTGTTTGTAAGTAAAGTTTTTACTTATAAGGGGCTGTTTAGTAGTTTAAGGAGGGGGGGTGTCAATTATACACAGCCCATACAAATAAAAAAAAAATTGTGTGAACAATTGTCTACGCAGGGGGAGGGGGAAATTAATTTCGTGCATTCATTTACATTCATTTGCCTGTAACTTTTTCCATCAACAGAATACCGTAAAATGATGTAGGAAGATTTTGTAGCTTTTGAAATTAACTACAACTTTTGTCAATAACTAAAATTTGAATCACTTATGCATGATGAACTAGAGCTGGCAGAACATGTTATTGTTTTTCAGTGAATGCAATTTACATTCACTGAAAAACAATGGTGGGTTCTTATCGCACTGATTCATCATGCATAAGAGATACCGATTTGAGTTGTTAACAAAAGATGTAATTTATATCAAAACCTACAAAAGCTTCAAACACTATTTTACGGAATTCTGTTGATGAAAAAAGTTAGAGGCAAATGAATGTAAATGAATGCACGAAATGAATGTAAATGATTTTCCATCTCTGGGACCTAGTGCCACGCCGTCCGAAGCGGTAATGAGCAGATGCAGGAAAGCAGCGCTGTTTTATATCTTTTCAGGTTCAAGCAGAATGATGTTCAACCAAGCGGTATTAGTTTATGATGACTGGGTTTGGGGAAAACGTTTAGTTCATGAAAACAGTGATAAAATTATCATTTGCGTATTCTACAAAAGTTTTTTGATTAAAAAATGGAAAAGTATTTATTTCAACATATTTGTTAAGTAATATCCTATCGTTTGGCGTATTTGGATTTTAATTTCATCTATAAATGACAAAGTTACAAACGTTCAAAACCTAACACTATTTCACCACACATATTTTTTTATTTGTACCCCAGTATAGTCGAAAAAGACGTAGTTCAACGTAAAAAAAATTTTTTTTTACTCTGGCACGTATTTGGTATAAGTGTGATATATTTCTTATTTATCGGCAACACTTGAATTACCTTTGGTGCTGCGATCAGCATTCGATAAAGTTCTTCCACAGAACATATCGAGTTTCATCGCATCAACAAAGTCCGAACGGTTTTATCACACGCGATGTTCACATAGGTTCACACAGGCCTGTGGACTTGGAGACATACTTCAAGTCCCCGCGTACATCGTACGGGCTAGGCAAAAATGTGCGTCTATCTTGTAAACTGTCGCTTTAATGGCCCTTCGCTCATTTTCAACTTCTATTCAATTTTCATACTGCCGTACTCTAACGGAACTATCCACCTACACTCTTCTAAAGATCATTCTCTAGCTAATAAATCATCACACTAAAGCTTCATGTTAGCATTTCCAACCAACTCTGAATCAAAGAAATGATAAGCCATATCAATCCAAAAGAGAACTCAGCACTAGAGTTGATGTTTTTAGGATTGGCAGAGATTTTACGGGACTCCAGCCCAGAAGTAGCTATTAAAAGTAATGAACCCATTCATTATCTAATAGCAAAATTCAAGGAGATAGGAACCAAATCTCTGAAAAATGTAAACATATGATCTATAAAGCACCTCGAATACTTGAGAATGTAGAAGAAATTCAATAATCACGATACAAAAATTGCTGGACATCCTGGTGAAACTGTACAAAAAATTAAAACCGTTTTATTACTGGAAAAACATCCGTCAAACTATTAGAAAGTACATACAGAATTGTATTCATTACCAATATAACAAGACATTCAAAATTACAAAAGAAGATTTTACAAAAATCGACACTTCACCTGAACCTTTTCACACGATTGCAATAGATACTGTAGGACCATTTCTTCTTCTTTCTCGCTTTTCAAGCTTATTGCGTATGGCATATTAGCTTTTTTGCGTGCTCTCAACTTAGTGTTCTAGATGCACTTCCACAGTTATTAATTGAGAGCTTTCGATGCCTGTACCATTTTTGCATTAGTATAATTGTGTGGCAAGTACAATCATACTCTATGCCCTGGGAAGTCGAGAAATTTTCCAACCCGAAAAATTCCTAGACCGGACCGGGAATCGAACCCAGCCACCTTCAGCATGGTCTTGCTTTGTAGCTGTGCCTTTACCGACTGAGCTAAGACAGGTCCCAGTACCGATTTCGAAAAATGGCAACAGATATCTATTATCGTTTCAGTGTGAATTTAGCAAATACGTTATTTTAACACCAATGATTGATAAAAAAAAAAGACCCCAACAATAGCAAAAAAATGGTTGAGAGCCTATTTTTAATATATGGAACTTTAGAATATATCAAAACAGATTTAGGAACTGAGTTCAAGAACGAACTTTTTAAAGAAGTAACCACAATATTAAACACCAAGCATAAATTCTCAACTGCGTACCATCCACAAACAATTGCTATGCTAGAGGCTATATTTCCACAAATGGATACTACTCCTACCTTCCTAGCAGCGAATCATCTGACTAAGCTTTTTTTTTGGTACAGTTGAGGAACTAAAAGTAAGCTCAAGTTGCCGAGAAAATCGTGTCACAAAATGTTCCGAAGGAATTGAAGATGACCAAACAAATACGGCGTGGAGGAAGCGCAGATATATTGTCAGGAGTGCGAAAACGTCTGATCGAAAGCACACACTTAGAAAAATTCATGTAAATTTAGGTGCTCTGAGAGTGACATATACGAGCGTCAATTTTGACATAAATTTGAGTCATAACAGACGCGAAATATATCTCAATCGAACGTACTTTTTGTCGAGCAACGAACTTTTCAGTCTCGCAGCACTTAATATTACATGACATGTTTGTTTACGTCTCATCTTTTATGTCAAAGATGGATTCTGTCACGTGTAAAATTAGCAATTTCTAAGTGTGCAGAAAAAAGTTCTACCGCTCTATCGGGTGTCTTAATTAACGAAAATGTTCAATTTCAATTATAATAAAGCATTTAAACATTGTATTGTATTGTATTCTATTTTACGTAGGAAATCATAAACGATAAATCCAATTGTTTGAATCATTCCCATAATTGTTGCTTGTTATCATTTGACCATTGTACTGCGACCGTTGTTTCATATAGCTCTTTAATTAGTCGATCACCATATCTTACAACGAGAGTAATTTTTTGTAATACTCAGATAATGAAGACATTTTCTTAAAAAATCATACAAATGTTGGTCAAACGCACATCTCCAAATCTCCACCCCGACAATTGTTCATTCATCCAAATTTCCATTCCGTCAAAAGTCTGTTCGGCTAAACGTCCTGGCCTCCAAACGGATTTCCACCTTAATTAACTGTTTATATTTTTGTCTGAAATTTGGAGTGAAGTTTTCTTAGACAAATTTGATTGAAAAGCTATGTTTCGTAACAACATTGAAGAAGAAAAAACAGATTTTAACAATACCCGCTTAAGAATAATTAATCCAATTGAAACTCTTTATAAAGAAAAATGCAAATTTATCGGAAGACGTAAAGCAACACTTGGGTAGTAAAATAAAATAGCGATCAAATCACACAGAAAAATTAATACGTTTTAGTTTTTATATTAAAGATCACTTTTCGTTTCCAATATGGATCCCCAGAAAACGGCATTAATTAAAACAGACAGCCTCAGATTATCCCCGAGCAAAAAAATCCCCACCTAATGAACATATCATCGCTTAGCAACCAAACAAAAGCCCTCCACTTGAAGTGTTTCCATTACCCTAATCCAGCGGTCAGCTAGAAAACCCAACAAAAACACATCAATTTGTAATCCATACCGGTTATCCTCCTCTCGGAATGTTCCTCTTCAGCCAACCGCCAACTTTGACGCATTTCAACGTTCGGCCTACGGATGTTCCTTCGGATTTCGGGTGACTTTCCTCTCGAAAAGCCGCAAAACACACTGGAGCCCAAATAATGTGCAGTAATTAATTTCACATAGTTCCGCAAACTTTCAACCACATCAACGGAACAAACTTTCCATCATCAAACGGATATGTGACTCACACCACTGAGCATTACACCGCACCGCACCGGCGATGACAACGACACCGAACGACTCGAGGATGGTCATAAATTTTCACCATATCATCCTCGCTTAATTTTCCACTTGACAGCGCCTTATCATTTCGCACTAAATTTGTACATTTTCTACTCACACATGAATTCTCCTGGGAGGGGGGAGCACACAAGCTCTGCACAGCTCCAATTATCTCAATCACTTCAGACGCCAACTGGAACGCTCGCACCAACTTCACCAACCAACGGGGCCTCACAATAAAAGCTTCTTTCCGGCTGTTGTTCGTCTTCGTGGATTCACATTTGCGTTATTTTTGCCATCAAGGATCATATGTTTCCACCCCCCACCACGAGGCAAATGCAAGTAATCCTTTCCTACACTTAACCGGAACTCGATTGTGTGCCGTCTCTTCCGAAGATGTTTCCGAGATGGAAAAGATTAGGGAAAACTCTTAGAGCAGAGCAGCAGCGACAATAGCACACACATAAGAACGCAAACAAACAGGCTCACAGCACACCATCCGCCTCCACCAGCCGGAGACGCGCGGGTGAACGGATGGTTAGGGATGATGATGCACTACTAGCATTCTTCATTCCCAAATACCAAAAACGCAGCAGGGAAGGATGAAGGGCGTCCCTTTCTGCCTGCCAACTTTCAAGTCCACTTTATTCAGTTTGAACCGACCACGACGGAACACCAGCTAGAAACGATTCGACTGATTCAGGACTCGCGACGAAACTGAAACACAGCTGACTGGCAGACTGACTTGACCTGCCCATATCTGCCGAAAGGTCCTTATGCGAGCGCGCTCGGCTCGGGTCACACGACGACGCCGATGATGATGATGGTGCGGGTGGTGGTTGGTTCTCTACCGGCAGACTGTCGATCTTCGGAATGAACGTGCCCAGCTGTGCGTGAGTGCATTCAAAGTTAGGAAAAGCGTGAGGAATGACGCTTGCAGCACGGCGAATGAGAACGACCCAAATTTGAGTTTAGTTTACTCATAAATCACATAAGGTGCAGGAAATTTACTCAGCTATGAGTAAATTTGCTTCATGTTTTTCCAGGTTTTTCCAGGAAAAAATCCAAATATGAGAAAAGTAAAGATTGGATTCACTCAGTCAATTGATACTACTTCTAGGCTGAGTATAATTTTCGACAATTTTCGGCAGATTTTTGAGTAAAACAGCAAAAGAGTTTATCTTCCATTTAATTCCACTTAATTAATTTTGGTATCCATGACAGATACGTATTTCGACTACAATGTACAGTCTTCATCAGTGTCATTCCCACTAAAGAACTTATCAAAATCTAACCCCCTTAAGTACTCATCCCCTAGGTAAAAAAGTCAAGATCATAGGTATAAAAATGAAACTACAATGTGTTGAATCGGAACCTACCTAACTAATAAAAACCAAAGATTTAAGTAAGCTAAAGGAGAAAAATCTAAACAAATCTCTAATAAGGAAAATTTACTCATCGCTGAGTACCTGCACTTTTGGCTATTATGAGTAAACTAAACTCAAATTTGGGTTGTTCTCATTGGCCGTGTGGGCCATGTGGAAGCTTGGATGAATGTGAGTTTCACTCTTCTACATATTTTTGGAAGTGAGAGACGAATGAATCATGAGAGCGAGCTTCAGAAAATGCTGGCAAGTTCTCTGGATACGTGGATAAAAGCTTTATTTTAAACCGCTGTAGAATGGGGTTGATCAGAAATTTTAATGATTTTGTTTTGGTTCAATCCATAGGTTTAAAATAAGTTAGTGAATTTCGAATCAAGGTTCTTGGAGCACTTTATAACTAGCTGATGCCCAACAATTAACGCGGCACCGTGAGACCGTTTGAATGAAAGGATGTACATTAGAGTGATGCAAAATTTGAAATTTTCGCTCCACAATACTTAAACGATTCCAAATCGGATCCTGACTGAATACCACTTTTTGATTAAATGCAAGGATCGAAAATTATCAATGGTTCAATGCGCTGATGTCTTATTATCATGCTCAATCAACGGCTCAGCAGGCAACATTGGTGTTTCTGGGGCGTTGAATAGGACACAAAAATCATGGCTACTATGTCATACTGCAGAGTACAGTGTTGCCTACAGAGCAGCTGCTTGATCATGTCATAAGTTTACCAATCTCTTAAATAATTAGTAACTTTTTCCTGTCTCGTTTTACATAGAAACGGTCTTCAGCAAAGTTGTAGCTGAGAATTTTTTTTTATAAGAATGGGTGTTGAACTGTTTCGCAGCTTAATATGGAAAAATAATAGAAGGCAATGAACAAAAAGTTGAGATTTCCCATAATAATTTACATGTAAACTTTAAATGGCTTGTGCGAAGTCTGTTTCTAACCAAATGAGTTGTAACTTTGTGAGGCTAATCAGGATCCGATTTGAAACCATTTAAGCACTGTGGAGCGAAAAAGTCAAATTTTGCATCAGTCTAATGTACATTAGGATGTTTCATTTCGAAAAAAGTGTTAGATTTCTTATAGACCACCCTCCAGTTTGTAAATTTGCCAGACCTCTAAATCTTCTTCAATCTTTACCATTTTTTGCACAGTCTCATATTTTTTTGGGCTCTGAACTAAACTGGACGGTGACATATAATAAATTTAACACAAAGCGTTTCCAGCTGAAATCTGACACGACCCTTTCCAATCTAAATGAAACTTTCAACATGTTTTCAGCATTGGATATTATGATTTTTCCTCATATCACGAGACCATTTTGACTCAAGACTAATTTTTTAAAAGGGCGGATGAGTGTTCAAACATGATTTTTTTATAAAAGACTTTCTCTAAAACTGTTCATTGTATCAAAATTGTGTATGAGATGAAGTTGCAGAGAAATGAAGACTATAAAGGAAAAAAACACACTGAAACAAATTTGATAAATTTATGAAAAAAGAAACCAAATCTAACAATGTAAATACTATAAGTAGGGGAAATGGATATAATATCGGCCTAAATGCCCCTAATTTGGGCCCATACATACATACATTTCTAGCGATGGGCCCAATCTTAGATCCATAGGCCAACAGTAGAGCCATTTCCCCTAGTACGATTTTCTTGATTTTTTTTTTTGCGATGACCTTATGTTATAAGACAATGTATAAAGGTTCTTCCAAGATGGAGCAATTTCAAATAAAACAGTTCTTGGAAGAAAAACTTTTCAATAAAATTATTACAATGGATGTAATGTCGGCCTAAGTGCCCCTAATTTGGGCCCATACATAAATTCAGCAATCGACCAAATTTTCAATAGCTTGAGCTTGCTTGAGCTTGAGCTTGATTGACCGCCCACGGTTGCTACTCTGTTACTGCCAGATCAGCTGTAATTACACAACCGAATGAAAACTAACCACAAACCGTCTTTCTACCGGAGCGAATGCACTGGACGACCTGTTCTCATCACAGGTCAAGCTCTTCCCCAAACACAAAATCTACACGCTTCAGGACAGAAATGATGGACTGAGATTCCCAAGCAGTCCGACTTGGAATAAAACCAAACAACGAAAACTACAACAACGAACGAAACGTGAGAAACTTCTTTAGACCAGTGCACTCATTGAACGGGAAATTCTAACCTAACAATCAACACAATTATTTAGCAGAATAGAAAAACATTTATTTAGAAAAAACTAATAGAACGAACATTTTATTATCTAAACATTTTTAACCGGGAACCCTCATTCTTCTCTTACTCTCTCTCTCTAATTCCCTACCTAACTGTGCGGATTTCTAAATGGCTATTTATAACTGGCGCTTCATCCAGATTTAATGCATGCATGCGGACATTGTACGGTTCTACTCACGCTTCTGCTTTACCGACTGCTCCTCACCATCGTCTGTCACCCCTGCGACGCTCGCTGCACGGAATACAAAAGATTTACCAAATTGGGTGCGAGTCTTGATTCGTTAATTCACCAACTGCTTTTCGTGGTGATATCCCGGTGGGTGGGAAAAATGCTCACCTGGAGCGCGATATTGACGGCGCAGCTCCCTTCTAACTCCGGCCGAAGTTAGGTCCTTTAATACCGACGCGTGGGGTCAGGGTAGTGGTAATAACGGGGGGCGCGGTATGCCGAGCGGGAGGTGGTGGGACGAAACTAGAGACAAAAAGCCGTCAAACGGCTGTACAACTGGATGAGCGCATTGTTGCAAAACCGCATAGTAAATCATTTACCTTTTTGTTGAAACTTAAATCGCGCACAGTACCGCACTAGCCTACTAAACTTATTCAGTAGTAACTACACCTAATCAAAAGGAATCAACGAACAATTAATTACACTGAACTTAAAGACACTTCTCACATTTAAATATACCTCTACAAACACACCGTGAAACTATACCAAAAAACTTCACAGTCCTGCCTCTTCCACGGGTTGGATTAAAGTGGACGAGAAAAATCTTGGGATTCCTCAGAAAGGCCGCTAAAATAATTCTTGGCCTTCGTTCCGGAAACCGAAAAAACTATCTTATCAAAAGGCGATCTCCGATTACCTTCCGATTCGATCAGAGATACTATCTCTGTTCCTCCCAAGTATCCCACATCTGTCTAGCTCATTCCAATCTGTAACTTAAAGTGTTTTTCTTATTATTAAATTTCCGACGACAAGTAATCCTACTGGGAGATTATACTCAATCCCACGGATCAAATTTCATGCCACCTCAAATGAGAAAACTTACGCGTCTAGTGAGCGGATGAACAAATAATGAGTGAAATTTCATGCAGGGATAATTTACTCTTGATATGAGTTCACCAGTTGCATACAAGTGAACTGGGATAGTGCGTGTCGTTTCGAATAGTAACAGTGAACATTTGTAGCATTTGAACTTCATGCTACATTAATTTAATATCTAATTCGAATACCGCTACAGGCCCAATCTTAGATCCATTGGCCAACATTAGAGCCATTTTCCCTATTTCTCCTTAAAATTACAGAGGCTTTCAAAAATTTTCCTATTTTTGTATTGGTAAGCGACTTCATCATACATAAAAATTATATTCATGCGTTGATTCAAATTCATTGAATCGAAACTCCGACCATTCCGGAATCTTTCGTGGTAAAGCAAACCGCCTCGTGTAACCTTTTCGGGTTCAGCGTTACCTCACTACGTAGCTATTGGCAAGGTTCGGCTGCCTGTACGTCTGTTTGTACCTCGGGTAATGAACTGCTCGAAATGCAAACAACTTGGTCACACATCGGACTACTGCTCGAACAAACCACGCTGCGATCAGTGTGACGAGCAGTATCAAGAGAGTCCTTGCAGTGCTCCTCCAAAATGCGTGTACTGCAAGGAGAGCCTGTATCATACCTTGACTGACTGCCCGGGGTATGAACAGCAGGGAGACAACATTAAGCGGTCTCTGCAAGCTCGCTCCAAGAGAACAATAGGAGAACTCTTGAAGAATACGGCTTCACCTTCTCAGATCACTCCAAAAAGCAGTAACACTTTCTCCATTTGACCAGTTGATGATCTAGACTCTGACTCAGAGGGCGGTGAGGGTAGTCCAGTTGTCTTTAAAGGCAATACGAGAAAACGAGCCAAACCCCCCCCCCCCATCCTTAAGCCTCGTAAGGCCACTTTTATGGACTCCCCCCTTTGAAAAATCAAGAGGTAACGGAA